CCATACTTCTTTTATTATCGTTTCATCTTTAGCTGCCTTTGCTTTTCTTTTGTACTTCATTGCTCTTTCTAGTGCCATTTCTGCTAGCTCTCCCGTATCTGTTTCTCATCTTACTAAGTAACTTAGTGTCGTCCTGTACAGTTTTAAAATCCATTTTATATATTTTACCTGAACTTTTTCCATTTCTTCATATCTTTTTCATCCCCATATCTCTGCTCCATACATGATGAGACTTTTCACCAGGGCATCAAATAACCCCATTCTTAGAATGCAATTTTCTTCGAAGAGTCTTTCTCCTATTCCCTAAAGTCTACCTATCCCTGTGTTTATCTTTCCTTTCGTTCTTTTGATGTGCTTTTTATTCCCATTGTTCCTGCTGACCAAGTATCCTAGCTAATTATATTTCTTTACCATTTCTATTCTCTCTCCTTTTTACTCAAATTTCTCTTCTGTTCCTCTTCCTTCACCTTTCTTTCATTTCCTCACTTTTGATTTTCAACATTCAGCTCTAGTTCTCTCTCCATTAGAAATTTTTCTAAATTTACCAGCATTTGCCTCATTCCTTTCTCCTCTTTTGCCATCAATACTATATCGTCCGCGTACCCTATTGTCCTACATCCTTTTCCTTCCTTGCACCACTCGTCTCTTTTGCACCTGTTTCATTTTTTCTTCCAGTCTCGTGAAGGCAAGGTTAAAAAGCGATGTGCTCAAAGGGCACCCTTGCCTTACTCCTTTATACCTTTTAAATTCCGCCACTTCTTTTCCATTTATTTTGATTTTGCACTCTGTTCTACTATATATTTTCTATATCAAATCCTATATCTTTCTCCTTTTAATCTAGTCGAATGCCGCTCTCGTATCTGCAAAGAATATCAATACTTTTCCTTCTTCCTCTTTTGTTTCCTTTTCTATGAGATTCTAACACATATATCGCATCTATTATTCCTGTTATTCTTCTGAATTCCATTTGTGTATCGCTTAATATCCTTTTTTCTTCTATTTCTTTATTAAATCTACTACTCAAAATGTTCGTATATATTTTTTATCCTGAATCCATTAATGTTATTCCTCTGTAGTTCTCTACTTCTTTCTTGTTTCCCTTCTTGAAGACTGGCAAAATAATTCTACTCCTTCATTCTTCTGAGTATTCTTTTCTGTCTCATATCTTGTTCAAACAAACCGTAAGATTCCTTGTAAGCTCTGTTTTTCTTTCCTTCCACGCTTCATTTGGAATTTCATCTTTCCCAGTAGCTTTTTTCCGTTTCATATCGTTAATTATCCTATTCTTCTATCTTTTTTTCTTCTTTTTCAATCTTTGCTCTTCCTTGTTCTTCTTTCTCTTCCTTCCTCTCTTTCTCTTCTAGTTATTTCTTAAAGTGATCTCTTCTATCTACTGTCCTTTTTCTATACTTTCGTCTATCCCTTTCCTCTTCTTATTATAGTTGTTTACTTGCTTCCAGAGTATCGTCCTTGTTTTGTCTTCTGTTATTTTCTTTACTAGACTTCTTCCCTCCTCTTGTTTTGCTTCCGTTATTGCTTTTCTATACTCTTTCCTCGGTTCTACGTAGCCTTCTTTATCGAATTTTGTTTTTTTTATCTCCTGCATCTTTTTACTCTGCACACATCATTCTACCATCTTTTCCTTGATCCTCTTTTTTTTTTATTTTTTTTTTATTGTTAGTGCGTTTGTTATTCTAAATGTCATATCCTTCCATGTTTCTGTTCGTTGTACCGCCCCTATCCACCTTTTATATTCTCTTACTCCTTCTGCACTTCAGTCAATTAACTTTTTCTCTTTCTCTTTTTTCTCCAGTTCTTCCCATCTACTTTTTGCCAATTCTACCTTTATTATCATAAAATTTGATTTGTGCCTCTCTCCTATCTTCATTTTTTTGACCTCTTTCACTTTCTCTTCATTCTCTATTACGTAGTCTATTCATCTTGCCCTTTATATATGTTAGCTCGCCCTTCTCGTCCTCATTCTTTCTTCCGTTTATTATTGTTATTCTATCCTCTCCTATCCATCTTATCATATCCTTTCCTTCTGCGTCATTTTTTCATCTTTTACCTTTTTCTCGTCCTTTCCTTTCTTTTCTTCCCATCTTCTGCCTTCCTTTCCCATTTTCGCTTTGAAGTCCCCTCCTATTATCATTATCCCGTCTCCTATTTCTTCCGCAACTTCCTTTAATATTTCATAGTTTTCCTTTCTTCTATGTCTCATATACACTGTTGCTATTGTAATATCCTTTTTCTCTATCTCTATTTTCCCTACCGCTACCTCTTCCGTCATCCCTTTCCTCCATTTCTCCCTAATGCTTCCTTTCTGCTTTCTCGCTGGCATTATACAGCCTTTTTTGCTTTCTCTTCTCTCCACTCTATATTATATCCCTTTAGCCGTTTTTCCACCATTTTACCCTCTCTTTCTTGTTTTATTCATATTTCCGTAAGTTCCACTATCTCGTGTTGTCTGATGTATTCTCAGTCTTCTTGGAAGTTATAAGACCTCGCGAGAAGTTCCGCTTCTGACTTGGATATTAAAGGTCAACTGATACGGCAGAGGCATCTTATAAGCTGTCTTTACGTCAGTAGGCTGCAGAGCGAGAGAGCAGGGAGATTTAGTTCACATAGTACCAATACGCGCGCGCCGGGGTCAGAAAAGTGAGGGAGTGCCCTTGAGAGGAGAGGATGAGTTGGGCCGCCGCTAGGCTGCGAATTGTGTTTGTTTTTCTATTCTCTCATTCCTCACTCTATCTGTTCTCAAGTGAACATCTCAGTTTTAGAGCTTTGTAAAAACTTTTCTACGATAATTGTTATTAGTTGCATGCATTATTTCCTTGGAAATATTTTTAGTCATTACATTTTAAACAGGATTTTTCTCGTTTAAGACCAGGGTTTTTATGCCATACGTCCTTTATTTATCTTCAAAAATCAAATTAATATATATATATATGTGAATTTTTCGACTTTAATTATTATTTCTGCTCAATTATCCCCAACACTACCACCTTCCTTCCTCTTCCATTCTTAGCCCATTACGTCATACTTTCACTTCTTCCCCTCTTACTCTTCTTTTCTTCGCCATTCTCCGCACTTCTTCCTTTATCATCCTATGCTTCCACGTCCAATCTTGATCTATAGAGACTTTCCTTTCCCCTAATCGACTTTTTCTTTTTATTATACCCTCCTTTTGTTCCCATGTACTACACCTTACTTACCACATTTTGTCCTCTTCTTCCATCTTGCCTATCTGCCCCTCCTTTCTGTAGCTTTTTCTCTATTTGCCTTAAACTCACTATTTCTCCCTGTATTTCTATATTTTTTTTTAGCCACTCCACATCCCCTTTCCTGTCTTATTTCAGCACTCTTTCTATGTCTGTAATTATTATATTATTCTTTCTGCTTTTCCATATCATTTTTTCAGCCAGAATTTATACCTCTCTTCTTGTTTCCGCATTTCAGCCCTCCTCTCTTTCCTCTTCTTTGTTTTTGTCCACTATTTTTTCTATTTTCTCTCTTATTTCTCTCATCTCTTCTCTCCAATTCTTCCTCTTCTTTCTTTATTCCTTCTTCAATTCCTTTACCATTATTTTTCATCTTTCTTCTCTTCTTCTATCTTTCCTTTTCAATCTTTTTATCACTCCTTTTATAGTTTCCTTTATTTCCTTTCTGTCTTCTTCTGCCTCTCTTAGCACCATCATTACTTCCATCAGGACTTCTCCTACCTTATCCTCTTCCTTCCTGTCTCCTCTTCTCTTATTGTTATGTCCATTTCTTCCGTCATCTCTGATTCCCTTCCGCTCTCTTTGCACTCACTTCTACACTTCTTCCTTGGCTGGTTATCCCCTTCACTTATCTCCTCTTCTTTTTGACCTTCCTTCACTTTCCCCTCTCGTTTATTTTTTTACGCCTATCATTTCTTTCTTTTCTATTTTCCCCGCTTCCCGTCGCAAACATCTTCAATGCCATTGCCTTCGTCGTCTCCCGCTCCCCTCCGTCCCTACTCTTGCTTTCTCTTTTTCCTGTGTCGCGGGCTTAACTTTCACACTACTCTCTCCTCTACTTTTCCCGCTCTTTTCCTTTTTCTATTCCTAACCTTATCTGCTTTTCCCTTCCTTTTTTTGTTATTTCTTACCTTTTATTTTGCCTCCTCCTTTTTTGTTTATCTTCCTCTTTTCCCAACTCTCCCTCTCTACCCACAACTCAATCTCACTCTCCACTAGGGATCGGCGATTCCTCCAAAAAGAATCGAGTACTCAGAATCGATTCTCAGTACAGCGCCGTAAAGAATCGATACTGAAGAATCGATTGACCACGAAAAGAATCGAGGAATCGAGTAGGAATCAAAATTTTTCTAAAATTTGAAATTCAAATTTCTCGCTCTCCAAGATGACCGCTTTTCAAATGAATTTGAATAAATATTGATTTATATTTATTTTTTAGAAAATAAAAGGAATATACAAAATTCATTTGGTTATATTTAATAAATATTTTACTGAAAAACGCATGTCCAACCACTCTAACAGCAATGGCCTCGTGTTTTTTTTAGATATTTTCTCGTTCTATATAGATGCATATACCTCAAAATTGCAGGTAACTGTTTCTCACTTGATACTGAAAAAAATTAAACATAGAAATTCTTTAATTTAATTATCTTTATTAAATACAATCCAGCACCAGCATTTTTAATCAAAAAATAGATGCACATGAAATGTATCATAAATAAGTGGTGAAAAATGAGAAAGGAAAGCAATGAAGGGATATCCAATCTCATTATGTTAAAATGTTAATAAATTTTAATATCCTAAAGAAATGAGAAATGAATGAATCATACTCAACCCCGCAATAAATAGTATAAATATTAAATATATAAAACAGCACGCATTCATGCAAACACAAGATTTATTTTAAGAACGATTGACTATATATTAAATATGAATGATTATCATGATATGATAAAACTCCAAATACCATGACATAAAAGCAAGATTAGGCAAAACAAACTACCAATCAGCTACGCCAAACGAACTCAAAAAAGTTAACATATTTAAGTGCATACCAGTTAATCGGTTTCGTAAGTCATTTTTAATATTTCCAGCTAATGAAAATAATCTTTCGCAGGGTATAGATGTAGCGAGTATCGTCACTTTTTGTAAAGCAATTTTGCTTAACTCTGGATATGCTGCGCTGTTCTTTTTCCAATAAATTAAAATATTTTCCTTATTGTCGGCTAAAGGTGCATGCATATAATGTTCAAGTTCCCAGTGATATTTTTGTATATCCTGCCTATGAAAATGTGCGTCTTGCTGCTTCTGTTGTTGACTGTTAATTAAAGATGTGTGATAACTCCAAATATTTTTTATGTTACTTGAGGAAGTTAAGGGTTCAGCACGTGAACTAACAGCTTTCATTGATGCTCCATTGTTAGAGGATACAGTTTCTTGCAATAACTTATTAATTTTAGTTAAGGTCCTAGAGGCACATTGTATTTTTTGAAAGTGGAGTTTTTTAAACCTCGGATCCAAAATAGTGGCTGCAGCCAACATAGGAGTCGACTCTAAGTAAGACAGTCTTTTCTGGACGTTCATCAATACTATATCCTTGAAACTCTTACCGATTGCTGTAGATGGCTGATATTCTTCAAGCACATGCACCATGCAATTGACCATAGGAATAGCTAAATTACAGGTAGCGTGCTTTTCAGTACTTAAATCCGTAATTATCTGTCGTATAGGTATCATAATATTGAGAACATCGCTAAGCACCTCAACTTCCCTTCTATTTAATGGATCCCTACCATTTTTCACTTGTTTCAAAGCATTATACATGTAATTCTCTAATAGGAGATATCTCTCTATCATGTCAACTGTTGACGTAAATCTTGTATCCATGTCTTGGATTATTTTTAGTGGAGTTTCATTGATATGAATTGCTTCTTGATCACCCGATGCCTCTGTTGATCTTTGTTTATGACGGTCAATATCTTCTTGTTGTCCTTTTATCAGCTCGTCAGAAGCAGGACCGCATTTCCTAATACTTGTTATAATAGTTTTCAACTTGCAAATTATTTCATCTAATTGTTTCTCACTGTCTATTGAGTCAGGTAAAATGTGAGCAGCCCTGTGAACTAAACAAATAATATGTTTATCCTTGCCAACAAGATCTTCAGCTGCTTTCGAAATATTTGCGCCCCCGTCAGTAATAAGAGCTGAGATTTTATTTAATTTTATTTCAAAATCTTCAAATATTTTTTCAAAACACTTTTTTAGATGATCTGATGTATGACGTTCATGCAAAGGTACACATCCTAGACGAAAAGATTGCATTTCACTATCATTTTGTGTAACGTCAAAATAGTGAATGGTTACTCCCAAGTAACTTTTCGTTGATTGATCAGTCCAAATGTCAGCTGTCAAAGAATACGATGTTATTTCTTTGAGCTTATCTACCATTGCTTTGTGTAATACTGCATATCGAGCTTCCAATCTCCTAGTTATGGTTTTTGCCGAAGGAACTTTGTACAAGGGTGCTACCGTTCTCATTAAGTATCGAAACCCTTCACATTCTACTATGGAAATGGGACGCATACCTTTGCAAATCATGAACAAAACGGCATTTGTCAAATCTTCAGCCTTCTTTCCCCCTAAAAAATTTTATAAACCTCTTATAACTATATATTATAAATTGTGCTTTCAACTGTCAGTATCTTACCTTGAAATGACTCGATCTTTTTGAAAGCAGTGGAGATATTCTAAAAATAACGTATTTTATGACAATCGATAATACATTTGAAATTAAATAATATTACAGTAATACCCTGTAATTTTTTCTCGACTTACAGGTGTGAATGAAGTACAACGTTTCTCACTAGATTGTACTGAATTAACCATAGTAGTGGTAGCTTTTCTTTTTAATGAATTTGATGTTCCAGTTGACACAACATTCTTTGGTGATTTACCTTGTGTGGGATTGTAGAGGAGTGGATGCACGTTAGTCAGATGTTTAATCATGTTAGACGTATTGCCACAGTCTTTGAATTTTTTAAAACAATATGAGCATTTCAAGTACTCTCCGTCTTTATCCTTGACTTTTGTCGCGTGATTCCAAATTCCACTTTTGTGTTTTTCAACTTTTTCGCTGAAATATTTTGTAAATTAATGTGCATTGTAGCTAGATTTATGTTAATCAAATTTATATTGTACATACTTTGTTTTGTTTTTGGTTTGGGAGTCATTGCTAACACTAGCTACATCATTTTGATTGACACTAGCTACATCATTTTGATTGACAACTGACTCATAATTGAAATCATCACCATGAGAAATCATTCCAATAGAAGTATGAGTAGAAGTAGATGGACTCAATGCTTTCAATGGTTCAGAAAAAGAATCATTATTCGTTTTGCCTATGAAAATAAAGTACATGTAATCGAATAAAAATAGCTTGGAATGTTCTAGTAATATCAATAATAAAAGTTCTCAAAGCAATATTACTCACTACGTTCACTAGTAATATAAGTATTCACTCTATTTGAATTTGAAGTAACAGGGTAGATGATTTGTCCTTTTGGTATTGCAAATGAGTTATCGTATTCCCCATCAGGGTCAGTTGATAATTTTACTCTCCCACTGCAGAAAAGGGAAAAATAATAATATTCGATATTTCAAATAAAATAAGAAATCTACTACACACTATTCAAGATCATCTAGAGATCTCCATAATGCAGTTAATTCTTCCCTTCTTGTAGATAATGTTTTCTTATGTAACTTTCAGTAAAAGCGTCATTGCCTGAAAAATTAGTAAAAAAAATGAATTTACTAATGAATTTCATAATACACGTGCGAACTCACGTTTTAAACGAAGGTAATCTTGTAGATTCAAATCGTCAATTGAAAAAGGTGGCAAGTGTACATCATTTAGTTTTACATAAATACTAAATCTTGTTGTGTTTGGGGGTGGCGTCCTTGTTCTTCCTATATAAACAAAATTGAAAAATCACTGTAAATAACAATGCAGAATCACCGCATGATCCGACATAACCTCAATATCAAACGCCAAAACTTCAATGAAAACTTACGCTATGAAATAATTATTACTAATTAACATGCATCACATATTAAATGATTGTACTATAAACTATAAATACAATAATTATTCTTACCCGATTCAAAGTCTGAAAAAGACATTACGAATGTCACTGTAGTTTCATGGATACTATGTAGAGTATTGTAGAGCAGTAACTAATTAGAATAGTAGCACTAAACCTCAATTTTAATCGAATTATCACAAATACAATCACAGATTGTTCAACAATATAGTGCTACACGTAGACGCAATGAAAACAGTTATGAATAATGATAGAGCTATCCAACAGAAACTTTCCCACACTTTCCCGCGTGTTTGACAACACGATTCGATTCCGAGTTGGAAAAGAATCGATAGTCATGGAATCGATTGTTCAAAGAATCGACAAAAGAATCGATTCTCGAAAAAAAAAATCGAGTACTTTTGTAGGAGTCGAGTAGAATCGCCGATCCCTACTCTCCACTGTCACACCGTCCACCTTCTCTCACACTTTTCTTGTCCCGCATCAGACACATGTCCTGCTCTTCTCAACTCTCAAGGTGAGAATCCAACGTCGAGGTAATTATACCAATATTAACATTTGATACTTATATTTTTTTTTAATGGTATAGTGCGAAAATATTGGTCTGCAAAGAAAGCTTCCTTTCGAAAGTTTTTGGAAATTATCAAAGCCAATAGATAATGAATAGTTAATTAATAGTTAAACTATTTTCTCTTTGTCTCTCTCTCTCTCTCGATTTTCAGTATTTACAAAAAAATATGAAGCCAGTATTTTTTTTAATAAACTTGTTTATGAATCTTCCACTACTGTTGGTGGTAAAAATTATGAACTAAGATTAGTTTTTATTTCTTTTATAGATTTGCAGCTCAAACGAAAGCTGAGTGATTATAAATTAATACATTCATACATATTATAACAGGTAACATATAGTTTTGAAATTTATTTACTCTAAACATTAAGAAATGAAAGTATATAAAACTGGTAAATAGTGCTTACTGTATTTCAATAATTTATCCTCCGAATTATATACAAATTAATTCTAATAAAAATGGCTTAAATAAATGAAATAACTCCTAAAAACTTTGAATATTACTTTCTTTGATATCGTCAACAATTAGAGCGTTGGATTTTTAAATCGCGTAAACGACGCTAATGCAGAAAGAATTAGATTTCGAACAAGTTGGCGTAAATCCTCTTCTAAATCAATCAACTAACAATCATCATGATTTAGGCTACAATACTTTTTATATTATTGATGAAAATCATAAATTGATCGTAAGAGATGGTAATATATCTGATTGAAATAAATCAAATGCTGATCATGTAAATCCATCGTCTTCCTCTTTTGAATCGTTAATATCTTCAACTCAAAATGACAGTTTACAAAATTTTGAAAAACGCCTTGGAGACGCATTGGTAGTTACCAATATGAACCAGATTCAAATAAATGCTGTAATGAATGTTATATGTGTACACTCTTGTTTTGCTAGTTTACACAAAAATCCACGTACAATTTTGCGTACTCCTCGCGATAAAGCCTCCATTGCAAATTTTGCTGGATATAAGAAATGAAAGTCTTCGTAAGAAACAGGTAATAAAATCAAATGAAATAAAACTATTTTTAGTAAATAACATTGACGACAATTTTATCATGCGCCACTTTCATTAGATGGTTCTAATTATCGTATGTACGATAAATATGAAACGAAAAATTTTAAGTTGTTTCTCGATCAGGCTAATAATACAGTGCATTTGATTGATTCGAGAATATGTATAATGAAAAGTTTTATTCAAATATGTGACTATCATTGCTATTTAGCGATTCAATGTTTTCAAGAAGTTGATGATGTTTTCGATGTAGGTCAATTTGTATCTTCAAAAATTGGAACGTCTTTAGTTCATTCGTTGTCGTCTGAAATCTCGTTAGTCCCATTTCAAAGTATAACAAATGTTTTAGAATGTCTTTTTGGCCTGCAAATAATTTCACGTCGGAACCTAAAATGAATTATTATGTAGTGTCGATAATACTTTCCTTGCAACCTAGACAGATTCTTTTGTCATATAGCGAAATTCCACACGATAATAATCTTACTCAACCAGTACAATATTTTTATTTATCTAACTTATTTTTTTATTATTGTAAATTCAGTTTCAATCAGTTTTTAAATTGTACATTTTAGCTACTAGACATGTCAGGCGCGCTACACTCGATCTTATCGTTTTATTTCTTTTCATATTTAAAATTATAAAACATAATCTCTGATCATATATGCATACATACCGATATGTTTATGCAATATATATGCTCACTTGAACATCTTTCAACCAATTACATCACAAATAGTTTAGCTTAAAATTTTCGGTTTTCTTTTTTATAAGAGGATAAGAAAATTATACGATAAATGCTAATTTGTTTTTTCTGTTCATTTTTTATTTTATTTATTGAACACATCCATACTTTTTATTCGTCCCCTTAAATGTTTTCCATAGACGTTTACAATGCCACCAAAGATGAGAGGAACCAAATTACTGAAATCAACCCAATCTCTGTTGCTTCTCTAACAAGATTTTGGAGGACTCAAAGACCGGATAAGATTAACGGCACAAACACATAATCAAAACGCAACACAAATACAATACGCTATTTACACACTGAAACTCGTCAACTTTCTTGCAAACTACAACAACAAAATTAAACTTTCATACTCACATCAAACATCAAATAAATTTTTCACTCAACCAATTCAAAATACTTATACAAAACCAGCACAAATACAATGAACAACATCACTCACTCAACACGTTCGAAATTCACGATCAGCTCAAACCAACACCTTACATACACTCACAAGCTTTTCTTTCACCCATACATACAATCAACAACAGCTACAAGATCAAAGCTTAGAACCATTGACAACACTCACATAACTACGACCGTCTTTCTCCGCCAACGACACTACACTGGCACCAGCGGACGAAAGGACGGACACACAAATTGTGTTCGAAATTTTGAAGTAAGCTATCGTAAAATAATGCTACCTCAATTTTTTATATCATTATTTAAATATTTTGTTTCATTATTATCAAGTCTCTTTTATACGCGTTTACTCTTTCTTTTTTTATATAAAATAGTTTGACAATTTCGGGATTTAATGCTAAATTGTGAAAATAGAGTTTTGCTTCGTTAGCCGTTGTTACTTCCTCCCCAATTTACCTTATAAAAGTTTATCCCACAAAAATTCGTAATTTTAGATTATGTTAACATTTAAACATCACATTTAATATAGTACATGACGAAAGTTACTAATTATAGTATTTACTTTTTTCAGAGAATTGCAGCAAAATGTTTAAAAGGTGATGGAGACTCAAGATAATCTCCAAAAAAATTCGTAATACCCAGGAGTAAGAAAATGTTTAAATAGTATATTTTTCGTAATTATAGACTTAACCCGAAATCCATGTAAATTTTGCATCATCAATGAAAACCAAACGTAAATTTCTTTTTAACCCTTTGCGGCATACATTTTTCAGAGAAACCAGTTTTCGTATAAATTGGTCTACAAGGGTTTTTGGGATCGCTGATCACGATTCTGAACTTAGAATTTCAAAATTTTAAATGTCGGATCCAAGATGGCGGCAAAAATTTGGTGTATATATTTTATTTTATTGAAAGTTGGTATAAAAGGGTTTTTGGGATCGCTGATCACGATTCTGAACTCAGAATTCCGAAATTCAAAATAGCGGTCAAAATGACGGATCCAAGATGGCGGCGTAAATTCAATGTATATTTTTTATTTCATTGAAAATTTGTATACAAGGGTTTTTGGAATCGCTGATCACGGTTCTGAACTCAGAATTTTGAAATTAAAAATGGCGGATCCAAGATGGCGGCAAAAATTTGGTGTATATTTTTTATTTTATTGAAAGTTGGTATACAAGGGTTTTTACGGTCGCTAATTATGAATATAAACTCAAATTTCCGAAATTCGTAATAACGAATCCAAGACGACAGCAAATATTGATATTTCAGAATTTCTTCTGAAAATGTGCATGTAGAGGTTTTCGGGGTGGGTGATCATATTTCTTCGAAAATTTCCTTTCTTTCTGCGGAAAGTTCTGAAATTCCATATTTTTAAAAGTCAACTCCTTCCATCAATAGAGGCTGTAACAAACCGTCATCTGTTCAAATGTTGTAATTTCTGTATACTGGTACTCCATTAGATCCAATGCCAATTCAGTAAATCAGAGGATAAATCATTACCAAACTTACTTGACTTCAATAATCGTGAAATTATATACGTATACATAAGAGTAAAAATATAGCGAGTGTTAAAAATTCTTTCAGTTATATAGCACATTGAACATTTCAAGTCATCTATTGGAGACCGATGAAAAAACAATTTTAGAGCGATAAAATAGATTCGTACGGATCATTGTAGTATAATACACTAAAATCTGTTGTGAGTTGCAATTTTCGTAAGAGCTTGTACCGATCCTGTAGCATTAAAATTTTTTTTTATCAAGTAGTCGAGTTTTTTTATAATTACAAATATTAACGTATCTCATACAAAATGGAAATCGCTGATATTCCTAGCGACACGGAGTCAGTAGATGGACTTGTTGATTCAGACCAAGAGGAGGATGATATAAATGTAGAAACCGAAGATCAGCTTGAAGAGAATGAAGGTGACAGCGATTCAGATGAAGATCAAGGAGAACGCTCTGGTAATGAAGTATGGAAGAAAAAAGGAAAAAATAGAGATGATGATCAATTCACTGCTGATTTCGGACCAAATATCCTCGAAAACGTAAAATCTCCACTAGATATTTTTTTGTGTCTTTTTCCTGACGACATGCTGGATTTACTAGTTCAGCAAACAAATAAATATACACAGGAGAAAACTCAGGAAAAGCAATTGATCAAAAAAGAAGAGTTACTGATTTTTCTAGGAATTAATATTCTGATGGGAATAAAAAAACTGCCTTCTTATCGCGACTATTGGTCGAGTGACTCAAAGTTGAAGGATTCATGTATAAGCTCGCTAATGCCGGTTGTTCGTTTCGGATTCATATTAGGTAATTTGCATATATCCGACAACA